CACTCGCCACCTTACTTTTAGAGATGGTCTCTCTCTCACCAAATCTGCAGCTCACAGATTTGGCTAGAATGGCTGGCCTGGAGCGTCAGAAATTCACTGGCTTTTTTCTGCCTCCCCAATGCTGAGATTACAGGTGTGTGCTGTGCTGAGCATGGATTTATGTTGGTCTCATGCTTGTATGGCAGGTACTTTACCACCTCCCCAGCCTTGTAGCTTCAGTCTTCTCCACATTCTAGTGGCTTGAAGAGAGAAGTCTCGGGAGCAAACCTGCTTTCTTTTAGGTGATGCTTTGGGGTTCTGTAAAGGTGATGATGGGTTTGCCCTCTGCAAAAAGTGTAGCAGACTTTCTTTTGGGCCACCAATTAGCTCTCAAATCATGACATGGAGACTAATTATTAGTTATGAGTGCTCTACCTTAGCTTAGGCTCATTTCTTGCTAGCTTTTATAACTTAACCTGTTTCCCTTCATCTACATTTTTGCCTCTGGGGTTTTTACCTGTTTTTCTTCTGTGTGTCTTACTATCACTGCTTCTTGTGTCTGGCCAGGGGCTGCCTGGCTTCCGGCCCTGGGCATGCCCCTCTCATTTTCCTTTATTTTCTTCTTCTCTCTTCTGCCTAGATTTCTCCTTCTACTTATTCTCTCTGCCTGCAAGCCCTGTGTCTCCCTCTCCTGCCTAGCTACTGGCCATTCAACTTTTTATTAATCCATTCAGGTGCCTTGGGCAGGCAAGGTGAAACAAATGCAGTATATCTTTGCATAATTAAACAAATACAGCACACCTTTACATAGTTAAATATACCACAACAGTCAAGCCAGCACCATGAGGTGCTCACTCACGTAATCCATGCAGCTAAGTCCTGCCTTGTCATTGACTTAACAGCCCGTCATGAGTTGTCATCAGTTCTTGTCTCCCACCCTCTCTACCCACTGTTTTATGGGCTATGAGGGGCCCTTGTGGGAGAGAGAAGTGCTTAGTGGACATAATGGTGATGACAGGGACTCAGAGCCACTCAGCCAGGCCATGGGGACTGGACTTTCCAGCTGGTCAAGCCAGGATGCTCCGTGTACCTGGTGAGCCTGATCCTTGAGGATTGTGTAGGTGTTAGATGGCCTCTGAACCACAGTGACATGGAGCTGCTTTGCCTGCCTTCAGTGTAGAAGACAAAACTGCCAGATGCCACTAAAGGTGACCTAGGGAGAAGATAGTTACATATACAGTAGTTGATTGTTTATCATAGCAGGGAATGTGGTAGAACCCAAAGGAAGAAACCATAGACGAGGGCACAGAAAGTAAGAGACTGGAGACTCAGAAGTGATCAGATGTTTATCATGCACAGTGCACATACTTGGAGCAGCAGGCAGCTCCTGGCTGGGGTGGGAGACCCTAAGAGGTGGTCTGCTCTTCTAATAGTGGCTGGGGTCTCTCACTTGAGGAAGGAGAGGTACCTGGGGGCTGGCACTGGTTGATGAGTCAGTGACAGTGGGCAGGGCAAGGCCTGCAAGCAGGGATCCATATAACTGAGTGAGCCTCGAAAGTGTGTTCAGATGCTTCGAGATAAGTGCTTTCCATGCCTGCGTGAGCGAGATAGGGGCCTTCCATGCCGTTATACAGTTCTGAGTTTCATTTTTAATTTTGTTTGGCTGGGGGGGATAGGCATACTCTTAGGAAGCATTTGACTGTCTTGTGAAAAGTGGCTTAGCCATTAGCCGATGAAAGTGTCATCGGGCACTTTCTTAATGTCTCCTTACTCGGCTGCTTTCTCATCTGCTAAGTGATCATGCATTGAGTGGCACGTTTGTTTGTTTATTGAGAAGGGGTCTCTCTGTGTAGCCCTGTCTGTCCTCAGGCTTGCTACATAGTTCAGAACCTAGAGAGAGATCCACCTGCCTCTGCCTCCTGAGTGCTGGGATTAAAGGCGTGTGGCACAATGCTTGGCCACAAGGGTGCATTTTTAACTCCAGTTTTAAAATCTAATCTTGCTTTGATTTCTCTGCCTCCAAGCCTCTGCTTTAGCCTTTGCCCAATGAGCTCTCCATTTTCTTGGTCTCTGATCTACTAGCAGGATCGGGTCACTCTGAACACAGTGTAGTCGTAGTTCACAAATGGCTCTGAGATTTCTAAAAGCCACTTTCAATTCATAGGAGAGCGGCAAAGACAACACTGTTCCTGCACACCCCCCTCCAACCTCCCCTGATCCGAGCGCCTCATGTGACCTGGCACATTTATCTCAATTGCATCATTAACACTGGTGAGATCCTGTTAACTAACTCTGTTTGCACTGTTTCCACCACCCAGTCCATTTAGCTTTGTGTAAATTTTGATTTCTACATGGAAATGTCCTATGCAGTTGCCTGGAAGCCATCCCTTCCTTTCAGTATTAAAACAAAAACATATCCAAACACACTGTGTAAATAAATAGACACCTGGGTCACAGGGAGGGACAAGAGGGACACTTGGTCTTCTTCCAGAACTGGCATTCCATGGGCCTTTTCAGATGCGCATTAACTGGGTCCTGTTTCTCAGAGCCTCCTCCCTCCAGGGAAGCCACAGGGGCTGCCAGACAGCATGGCTGTGACAACCTGGGCAGGTCTGTCACCTCCGGATCTCAGCTTCCCTATCTGTAAATCCGAGGTGTGAACCCAACTGGAAAAGACACACCTGTATGCTGGACTGCTGCAGGGTGAACTGAAAGCCAGGGTCACCTTCACAGCTCTAGCTCTCCCATTCGCCATCCACCACCTACCTCTGTAACATCCTTACCATCAGGTGAAACTTTTGTGATGCAGTAACGGGCCACGCTGGCTGGTTTATGCCAACCTGACACAGCTTAGAGTTATCAGAGCGAAGGGAACCCCAGCTGAGAAAATGTCTCCATCAGATCGGGCTGCAGGTAAGCCTGTGGGACATCTTCTTAATTAGTGACTGATGTGGGAGGGCCCAGCCCATTGTGGCTGGTGCCATCTCCGGACAGGTGGTCCTGGATTCTATAAGAAAGCAGGCTGAGCAAGCCGTGATGAGCAAGCCAGTAAGCAGCTCCCCTCCATGGCCTCTGCATCAGCTCCTGCCTCCAGGTTCCTGCCCTGGCTTCCTTTGATGACAAACAGCCAAATAAACCCTTTAAAGTAATGAATCCATGTACCTAGGCCCTGGTCACTCATGTTTAACTCAGAATATACTCTTTCTTATGCCCTTTTGGAGTGAGAACTGTGTTTTACAAAGAAATCTGGCTCCTTCCCAGAGGCCAGTTCTATCTCTGATACACGAGGCCCTCCCGGCCCTTACTCTAAGCCAGCAGCACACTCTCGTTTCACTAGCTTCTCCTGTCATGTCAACAGGTGTCTTATGGGTCTCTGTTGGGGCCAGAGTCCCAGGGAAACCTCCAGGCTTTACTCAATCTTTCAGCAAATGCATGGACAGTGGCCTGAAAGGCAGCCAGGCCACCCAGGGGACTGCACAGGGGCCCTACTTAGTCAGCAGTGCCACGTCAGAGTGGCAGTGGCTCCCAGGCCTCACCTTTGTCTGTGCTGAGTCTGCCCAGCCCCGTGGCTGACTGACTTCCTGCCATCTGGAGTCTCAGGCACATGTGGAAGGAAGGGGTGTGCCCTGTGAGCACAAGTCAGCAACCTTACCCTGACTCTCCAGGCCACACCTCTGTCTGCGTGGACTCTGCCTTCCTGTTGCTTTCAGCTTCCAAGTCAAGCAGCAGGACCACAGGTGCAGCCACTCTGGAGGGCCCAGCTTTGTGCCTACAGTTTGCCAGCATTTTACAAAGCTGAGTGTACTTAGAGATTTCTCTGGTGTACCCGCCTAATACGCTACATGGAGTGCTGAACAGGAACATTTTCCTCTGTGTGTGTGTGTGTGTTTTTAAAGATTTGTTTTCAGGGCTGGAGAGATGGCTCAGAGGTTAAGAGTACTGACTGCTCTTCCAGAGGTCCTGAGTTCAATTCCCAGCAACCACATAATGGCTCACAACCATCCCTTATGAGACCTGGTGCCCTCTTCTGGTGTGCAGATATACATGGAAGCAGACTGTTGTATACATAATAAATAAAATCTTAAAAAAAAAGATTTGTTTTCATTTTAAAATTGTGTATGTGTGCAGGTATCTGTTGTGGGGGTATGTGTAATTTTCCACTGAGGCCAAGGGGGCATAAGATCCCTTGGAGTCGGAGTTACAGGCAGTTGTGAGCCACCTGATGTGGGTTCTAGGAACTGAACTCGAGTCCTTGGCTAGAGCAGTACATGGCTGTAACCGCTGAGCTCTCTCTCCATGTTTTGTTCTGAGGGAAAGTGTCGGTGCATGCTGGGATCAAGCCTCTGAATGGCCTATGCTCCTGTAGGTCACAGAGGGTTGTAGGCCCCTGATGAGGAGTCAGAAGCTCTCTTCTGGGAAGGGTAGGCTGCTCTTCACCAGGGTGGGGGCTTCTGCTGGAAGCTCTGAGGGACTCTTGAGTGTGAAATGGCTGGTGCCTCTGGTCCCTGGCATTCTCAGTCTGGGCATGGTAGTGAAGGCTGTATGGTGGAGTCAGGCTCCTTGTCAGTCTGAGCTGTGTCTACCGTGGCAGCTAGAAGTGGGGTATGTAAAAGGTTAGGTCACTTCTGTGGTGTGGTGACATTTCTCCTTGGCATGGGACAAACAGTTCATTCTCCAACAACGACAAGAGATGAGTTTGGTCTGCTTGAGGCAGGCCAGAGTGGCAGTGGCTCTGATGCAAGGCGTACAGTTGATCCACTCATGAGAGATTACCTAGGTCATTTGGACTATTTAGTAAGGGATGGTCAGCTGGTTCTGGATCAGTGTGCTTCTGAGGCCAGCACCAGGCTGAGGAGAAGTGGGCCCGATGCAGCCTGTGGTGGTGCTGGCCTGGGGAGGGACTGTGTGAGACCTGACCGTCCTCACTCCTGGGGAGGGACTGGTGAGACCTGACTGTCCTCACTCCTGGGGAGGGACTGTGTGACACTTGATGGTTCTCACTCGCGGCTTCTGCTCCACAGACTGGCGCCCATGCGGCTCTACACACTCTCTAAGCGTCACTTTGTCCTCGTGTTTGTCGTTTTCTTCATCTGTTTTGGACTGACCGTCTTCGTTGGGATTGAGGGTAAGTCTTTCTTTTAATCATTTTTCCATTTTCAGTCACCTTAGTTTGGTGCTGCCAGCCCAGCTGTGCCCTCTTACTCCAGCCAGGCCTCAGTGTGAAGAGAGATGAGCCTTCTCTCTGAGCCCACAGGGCAGGAGATGGTCATGCCCTGAACCTTGTCTTCTCAGGAGGTGTAGCAGGCACATTGGGTAATGTAGGCATGCCGTCCTCAGCAGCCAGGCAAACAGCCTGCCTGGGTCAGTTTGTCAATGCTGGCAGCTTCTACTTCCTGCCTTTTATTTACCATATGATTTCTTCTTCTTCTTCTTCTTCTTCTTCTTCTTCTTCTTCTTCTTCTTCTTCTTCTTCTTCTTCTTCTTCTTCTTCTTCTTCTTCCTCTTCTTCTTCTTCCTCTTCTTCCTCTTCTTCCTCTTCTTATTCCTTTTTCCTAAATAAGCCAAACTGGCTTTGAACTTGTTATGTAGCCCATCCAAACATATCTAGAGTCATTTTGTGACCTGGGGGATCCAGAACCCACTGACTAAGGGAGAGACAGACCATGTAAAAATCTAGGTTACTAGGACTCGGGGTGTAGAGGGTTGGACTGGTGACATCTCAAGCTCCAGGACTGTGTGATGAGCACCAGGCAGTAGAAACTGTCCTAGCAAAAGAGCCACATCTTAGTGGTTTTTATCTTTGACATCCTCTAGGATTTTGTTTTTGATGTGTATGTGTGTATGTGTGTGTATGTGTCTGTGTATGTGTCTGTGTGTGTGTGTACGTATCTGTGTGTGTATGTGTGTGTGTGTGTGTGTGTGTGTGTGTGTGTGTGTGTGTGTGTGTGTGTCTGTGTGTGTGTGTCTGTGTCAGTGTGTGTGTGTGTGTGTGTGTGTGTATCCAGATGTTGATGTCAGCTATCTTTCTCTATTACTCACCACCTTATACTTTGAGGTAGGCTCTCTCACTTGAACCCAGCCAGCTCACTCTGGGGACCGTTTCTGCCCTCTGAGCCCTGAGATTGTAGACAGGCCTTTGTATTGCTCAGCATTTACTTCAGTCCTCATGCTTGAACCTCAGGCTCTTTGCCCACTGAGGCGTTTCCCCATCCCACCCCCAACTTTCTTTTTAACAGTCACGAAACAGATCCACAGAAGCTGAGTGGTCCTCACAAGGTTTCAGAGACTGGGGTCTCCTCTGTCTTATCTCCAACATGGGCAGGAGGAGCCAGCCAGCCTTGGTGAGATAGTACTCTCCTCCATTTCTTTTTCCTCTTAAGTAAGATAGCTTGTTCATTGAGGGTAGTTTGTGGCAGCAGTTGTGAGTGATGGATGCACTTAACACTGAGTGTGAACAGCATTAAGACTTAGTTATATTCCAGAGGTATTTGGACCTCAGAAAGCTAGTGTCTTAATCTCAACTGAAGTTTAGACTGCTGGGTGGCTAGAGGAGGCTGGAGGCAGAAGGTGGCCATTGGGATGTTCTGTGCCTTGTGTTAATGAAAATGACACAGTTGTGACCATAGCAACTATAGCCAACTTCTTCTCCTTCCTGTTAAGTCACCAAGGATTAAAGTTATATTAATCATAATCCAGGGTTTGTCCATTATCTCACATTTCAAACTGTCCTTTCATATTGGTAGGGGAGGCATTAATATTGCATGCAGTCTCAGTGGGATATTAGCTAGCTTTTGTTTCCTCGAGCCACTCTGTCTCAAACACCCCAGATTGTACCCAGCCTTTACTCTGAAAGGAAGATGAAAATTGATGCCCTGAGGTCAAGACAGGGGTGATGTCAGTCTCCCATTACTTTTTTCATCATTCAGATTACTGTCAATCTTCTGGAAAGCCAAACAATAAGGAATACATGTGTGTGCGTGTATATGCATACATATATATGTACCCATTATATTATTATAATTAGATCTCGTTACTGTATACACTTATACAGTATATATTTATGATTATAAATATAAACATTTGTGTTTATATTAAGGTATAAATTATTTATAATATGAATAATTATTAATAGTATATTATTAGATCCAGGTATAACTATGAGGTATAGTATATACTGTATGATTATATAATATGTGATATTATTTTTATATCTATGTAAAGTAAGAGAACTGGCTCACACAGTTCTGGAGTTAAGGAATCCATAGGTCTATAGTCAGCAAGTGGGAGCCAGCAGAGCCAGTGCATCAGTCAGGGTCCAGGGGCCTGAGAACCAAGAGGTGATTGGTGTGAGTCCAGGCCTGAGTGTCATGGTGGTGACTTGGGTTACTACCTGAGACCGGGAGACCAGATTCTCCTTAGCTTGTCTATTTAGACCTCAGCATGTTGAGGAGGCCTGTCTTCCCTGAGTCAGGCAGTCTGCTTTATTCAGACTCCTGGCTGAAGCATGAATCTTACCCAGAAGTCCTCACAGACATGTGGGAGCATGAGAGCGGTGTTTAATCAAGCACCCTGTGCCCCTCTACCCCCACCCTGCCCAGATTAGCACATGAAAGTAGCTGTTGTTAGCACTCTCTTCTTAATTACTTTATGTGGCAATGTTACTATTGGAGAGTTGGGGAGAGGGGGAGTTTAGCGACCATTGTGTTACTGCTTTATTCTGCAGATGTGGAAACTGAGGACCAGAGTGCCTGGTTAACATAGAGTTCAGGTGTCGGTTCTTAAGACTTTCCCAGAAGCCAGAATAAGAGTCCACTGGTCTTGGAATTCTTGCTGCAGAGTGGCCCTCTTCCTACATGGAGACAGCCTTGCAGCATTTGCAGGTGCCTCTGAGACAGGAAGTTGTGCTGGTCAAGGCATATATACTATACCAGCATGGTCTGGATTGGATGGAGGGCTGTTGGCAGAGGCTGGGGCAGTCTCAGAGGCAGCCCAGAGAATTGGCATCGCAAGCTAAGAAAAGTCTCACTGTGTAGGCCAGGCTAGCTTAAAACTCGCTATGTACACCAGGCTGATGGGAATTCATAGCGATCTACTTGCCTCTGCCTCCAAGTGCTGAGTTTAAAGGCATGTGCCACCATACTTGGCAAGAATAATATATTTTAGACAAATCCAGCTGTAAATTAATTTTAAAATCACTTAAGGGTAAAGCCCTGAAGAATCGATCAGTAAGAATCAGAGATGCTAAGGATTCTAGGAAGATGGTAGTGTGGAAAGGAATGTTTTCCCACCATAGCAGTAGAACCAGCCATAGCAGTAGAACCTTGCTGGAGAGCTACTTTGGGATCCTGGAGTCTATTGGAGGTTTGTAAATCCTTGGGTAGCAGCTGGACATGACACTGCGACTGATTTTAGCCAGTATGGCCCTGAGTGCTGTGGCAGGCTCTCATTCCCGTGCTGGCTCTAAAGCAGACATCTTGGTTCAGGTTCCGAATCCGTCTGCATGTAGCTTGTGGGAGCTAAGGTGGACAAAAGGACTCAGTCCTCCCTAACTGGGGACCTGAGCTCAGTTGTTGCTTCTGGTCATAGCGGTGAAGCAGGGAATATAGTCATTGCCGATGTACTTGGGACCACCATTGTTGCAATCCCACCCCCATCCAGCAGAGGCAACACCCAGGGAGTTAAAGAGCTAGCTACCCCTTCTCCTCCCACCCCTTCATGGACCTCCTTTCTTCCCCTTGGGAACCAAACATTCAGCAGCATAGTCAGGGGAAATTACACAGTCACCACACCTGTCCAGAGAAATGCAGACAAGAAAACAAACCCAAGAAGACCTTAAATTAACCCTGCCAGCTACTCGTCAGCAAGTCTACAGTAACAACAACCAACCAGGCAAAAAAACAAAAACAAAAACAAAAACAAAATGAAACCTCTGGGGAGTGGGGAAGGCCTTGACTTCCAGGCCACCACAGTGTTATATTTAAAGGCAAAGCCAACTAAGAAATAATAAAGTATGGCCATCAAAAGAAAAAAAATGTAAATATATGAAGACTCTGTCCCTGAAACCATGTGACAGATCTGCTAGACAAAGGCTGTGACAGCTGTCTTAAAGAATAAGAGGATGGTGTAGAGGAGCCAGAGAGCAATGCATGGTGGGAATGCCAGGAAAGGGAGAGAGACCAAAAGGAATTTCTGGAGCTAAAAGGGACCATAGTTGAATTGAGCACTCGGCAGAAAGATAAAAGCAGATAGGTACAGGCAAAATGAAGCATCTGCAGACCTAGGGTAGGATGTTGGGCACGGTGAGTCTGAGAAGCAGATCGGAAAATGAGGGGAATAATAAGCAGAGCCTAAGGGGACTTGGGGCCACCATCAAGTAGACTGATACACACATTGTGGGAGTCTCAGGAGAAGAAAGAAGAGGCAGGGAGAATAGCTCCCAATTTGATGAACGGTGAATAGCTTAATGAGCTCAGGGGGGCTAAATTTAGTCTCATACCAAGACACTGCAGCTGAACTATGTAGGAAGCCTAAACCAGATGGAACCCTGCCTACAGCAAGAAAGAGGAACTCATTACAGATAGAAGATCCCAGTGAGGCTGCCAGCTCTTGTCTAAATTGTTCGGGGCAGAAGGCAGACTGATATATTCAAAAGGCTGAAAGAGTTCTCAACCTGGAATCCTGCCTAGCAAAAATGTTCTTCAAAAGCGAGGGGGAGAGGCTGAGTGTGGTGGCACAGGCCCATGTTAACAGAACTTGGGTGTCTGAGATGGGAGGATCGATCATGTGTTTGAGGTCAGGCTACGTAGTGAGATGCGGTCTCTGATGAGAATGTGGGAGTGAGAATAGGCCATTCCCAGGCGAACTAAAGCTGGGGGCGTGGCTGTCCCCAGCCCTGTGCTACTGGTTGCTGGAAGGGAGCCTGCAGGTTGAAACACATGTAGCCTAGCAAAGGTGAATGTTGTAATTATAAAAGCTCACATTATTCCCACGTCAGTGTGAAAGCCACTTTCTGTTTTCTGTATTACTTAGAGGCTGATGTTTAAAAGTGCATAATGTAAAAGCTGTTCTTATTGTGCATTTGCAAGACAAGGCCTTGTTTCCTACATAAGAGAATAAATCATTAGCAGTATTTTATAGCTTGGGGTAGAAGATAACAAAGACTGTAACTGCAGCTCAGTGGAAGAGTACTTGACTACCTAGCATGTTCAAGGCCGTGGGTTTGCAGTTTGATCCTCAGCATGCCCCTCCCCATAATGTGCAATATGTGTGCCTGTTCGTGTGTGTACATGTGTGTGTTCATAAAGAACATGTTGTCACAATTGTTGAAAGATAAGAGTTTTTGTGTATCATTGGTACTAAACTGTTATAAACTCTGATCAGAATACAACTCGTGGGTGTTAAGTGAAGAACTAAAAGCTGTGAGACTAACAGGAAGCAAATGCATAGCAAACAGAGGGTTAGAGGAAGCAGGATTGAGCCCTCCTAACCAGTAACTAAATCTATGTTGATTAAATTCTCCATTTAAAAGGCAGAAGTAGGTAGCATAGACTAAAGTATAGCATGAGGGGCTGGAAGATGGCTCAGAGGTTAAGAGTGCTTGCTGAGTCCAGATCCCAGTGTATACCTGCATCCCCACTACTGTTGGTGGGAGAAATGGAGACAGAGGATCACTGGGGGCTTGCTGGCTTCCATCCTAGCTGAAAAATGTGAGTTCCAGGTTCAGGGAGAGATCCTGCCTCAGAGGACGAATGTGGGGGGTGATAGAGGAGGACACTTGATGCTCTTCTCTGGCCTCTGCGCGAGGGTGCGCGCACACACACACACACACACACACACGCGCGCGCGCGCGTTCATAGATATATGCACCTCCCCTCCATGTATACACATATCACATATACTCCACAACACGTGTGCACATGCACACATATAAATACATGCACAAATATGACACAGACTGTATTTCATCTATAGAAGCCTTCTTTTCTAACCAAAGACAACAGATGGGTTGAAGAGAAGGGGTAGAACAAATATTCCATATAAATAGTATCAAATGATTCTCCCTGTGATTTCTAAATAATCAAAGGCAAGGTCATGAAAAGGTGTTTGTATACTTGTGTTCATAGGAACATATCCATAATAGTTAAAATGGTGAGCCAGTTTACATATCCATTACCAGGGAAGTACATCCTTGTAGGTATCCCTGAGGGCCCCCAGATCCTTTGGTAGTGAGGACAGGACTGGGCAAGAGCAGTCAGCAGGCATCAAGCAGAAGCCACTGTCAGGGCAGGTGGCAGCCATTTCTCTGAATAAGTTCCAAGAGATTGTTAAAGTCATCCAGTGGGTGCCAGAGCTGCTCTTTGGGTTGTTTAAACAGCATGCAGCGGTAAGGAAAATGTGACATGTGCTACAGCTGAACGTTATTCACTCAAGATGGCTATTGTATGACAAAACTTTCCCTGGGGAGACACAACACTCGCTCTAGATAGGGATCCCACGACAGACCAAAGTATGGGTACCACCAAAGTCCAACGAGGGGCTCCTTATAGGAGCAGAAATGATAGCTGCACACTGCACAGCCTGCCGGCAGCTCAACAGGTTAGCTTTCCAAGTGACTCTGGTCTAACCACTTTCAGGCAGCCAGTCTGACCTCAGACTCTGCAGCTGTTCTCTCTGGCCTCTTCTTACCTCATCTCTCCTTCCTTTGAGGACTCAGGGCTGTTTTTTTTTTTTTTTTTTTTTTTTTCTGACTCTGGTCAATTTCAGGGACTCCCTTAAGCTGTTTTGAGTCACTCACCTTTCTGTTTAAAGAGATGCCCTGCAGGAAACTGTCACACAGCCAGTGGCAGCTTGCTGCCAAGCCTCACAACCCCAAAGGAGGGCACCAACTATGTTGAGTTGTCATCTGATCTCCATCTGCACACTGTGGCACACATACACACAAATTGTAAAATGGAAGAATTAGACAGTTTAGACACATTGCTGTATGAGTCGTGAGGACATTATACTAGATGAAATAAGCCAGTCAAAACAGATTTGTGATTCCATTCAAGGTACACGAAGAGGGTTACCAGGGCAGGGAGGGGTGGAGTGCCAAGTCAGTTGGTGGGGCAGACTAGGTTTTACAAGAAGAGTTACAGAGATGGATGGCCATGTCTGCACACTTCTTAATCCTGCTGAATTGTACTCTTAAATGCGCTTAAAATAGTAAGTTCTTTGTGTATTTTAATCGCAGTAAAATTGGGGAAGAGAGAACTTAATAAAACATCTATCTCAAGAAAGCCCTATGTCATGCTTATGCTAGGATATCTGTCACTTTGTCACTTCTGCTTAATATTTCTAGATGGTTGGATTAATTGGATGAATGTGTTAACTTCATTTTGAAAGACCCTGGTAGCTCAGGCCCCCAGGATCTCAGCCCAGGATCAAGGCAATCCCAATCACCAGGTAGAGGCGAAAACTTGATGCAAACAGCACTAGGCTTTATTGCAGTTGGTTAATGAGCTAACCCCATGTTATCTCGGGCCTTTCATCCATCCACCATGGTGGAAGGCTGGGGAAAGACTCTGAGAAGCCATGGGACCAAGTTCTTATAGGGCAGCATAAGGAGAGTGTCTAGGAATATGCACAGGCTCAGGATTAGTGTGCCTGCAGGCTTGGAGGACTTGCCCTGTGTTGATTGGCCAACTGGTTGTTATGGTCCATAGGCCCTCCCAGGGAGGTTCCTATGCTCTGCACGTCATTGCTGTGCACTTGTCCGTAAAGCATGCCCAGAGCTATAAAGCATAGCACCACCAGCTAACTTCTGATTGGTTCCTTGCCACGAGGCAGGCATCTGACCTCCTAGTGACCAAGGCATGGTCAGGCAAGCATGTGTTAGGCTGTTATGGCTGCCGAAATGGGGAGCTGGTCCCTTCAATTTCTTAGTAATATTTCACTGGGGCCATGTACAATAGAAAGAGCCCAGTAGAGAGCCCAGGGGAGGGAGTCTATGGAGATCCCACCATGGTGTGTTGGTTGTTCTGCTTTAATGTTCATGGAAGGTGTGTCCCCCAGCAGAATGCACGTCTATTCCTTGTTTGGGTATTTTTACCTACTTATATAAAATCTCTTTTAAAAAAGTAGGATCAGCACAAGAGATCATTTGTGTCTACTGTCTAAGTCTTTCTCACACTTAAAATCAGTAAGTTAACTGCTCTAATCCCTTTTCCCTTCTCTTCTTTGTTACTCTTAGGACCCAAAGTGATCCAGACTTCTGCTGCTAATTTTTCACTGAATAATAGCAAAAAGGTAAGAACTGCATAAGCATCAGAGGTTCATTATAGACTTGGAGTCACTGTGAAGTGGCCCTGCTGGGAGGGTCTGAGGATAGACCGCCCTTGCCCTACTCCTGATGCTCAAGCAACACACAGTTCTCATTTCATGTTAGGCTCTCGTCATCTGAAATTCCCATTTCTAGGGACCTTGGTGTCCTCCGAAGGGTGGTGGTGGGAGGACATTTGTGTTCCCTCTTAGGGAACTGCAGCTCAATTCCAGTTGGGGTAACCTGCCCTGATTGCTCATGTTGGAAAATCCTGGTGCACTCACATTTTAACAATACTTAGGCATGGGACCCTTCCTTTAAAAAGCTTAATTGTGTGTGTGTGTGTGTGTGTGTGTGTGTGTGTAGGCCAGAGGTCAGCCACAGAGTTTGGTCCTCAGGAGCTGGCAACCTCTCATTTATTCATTTATCTATTTGTTTGTTGAGGTAAGAGTCCCTCCCTGGACTTGGCCTTGCCAGCTAGGCTGCTGGCCAGTGAGCCCAGGAGGAATCCTCCTGTCTCTGCCTATGCAGCATAGAGATTACAACTGTGTCCCAGACTGCTGGATGCCACCAGGGCAGAACTCAGGTTCCCATGCTCGCAGGCGAATCGCTTTGTAGACTTTTTTGCCGTGTTTGTCCAGGTCAGGGCTAATTCCATGTCCTCTCCAGTGGTAGCTGCTCTCTTTGTTGATTGGGTTTCCCTTCGTAAGCACATTGTAAATGAAAGTCTGGTCCCCCCTTAAATGTACCCTGATTTATGGCCACCTTTATGGAAAACAAGTTCTTTGCATTGGAGAAGTAAATAGTAGGTTCTCTGTGTGTCATCATAACCAATCTCTGTGAACCAAATATGGCGCTGTGAAAACACAGCGCCATGCTACACACAGTTTCAGTGTCGTTGTTTGATCCCTGCTGCTCTCTGGCCTACCTTCTAGGGTCTCCTCTTACAGTTCTTTGTTTTTTTGTTAAGTTAAGGTCCCACTTTGTGGCCATGATTAGCCTGGGCCTTGATGTGTAGATCTTGAACTCACAGAGATCACCTGCCTCTGCCTCCTGAGTGCTGGGATTAAAGGTGTGTGTCATCATGCCTGGCTATCCTTATGATTTTTAAATGGGCAAGGAGAAAAACTGTGTGCGTTTAGCTGTTGCTACTGCCTAGGAGCGACCTCTGGGTGGCCAGCCATCGAGGTTTCTTTGTATTCATTATTGTCTTGAGTTGTGGTCAGCGGGTCTGGTTTGGTTCTTGACAATCATGGCTCTCCCAGTCTCTACTCTCAGGGTCTCTCTCTCTGCCGTAACAGTCATCCCATGGAACTGAGGGCTTCCATGTGAACATCTTGTTTTTAGAAAGATATCTTCCCCCTACCCCATAACTTCTATTCCTCCATGGCTTTCACCCAAGTGTGGTCTCAGAAAGTTTGGTGGAGACCCTGACAGCCTGAAAACAAGACAAGACACTAACCTTCACAGTTGAGACCTTCAAATAATGCTGACTTTGGAAATGTAGGTAGGCTTCTTCCCCAGCTCCCTCCACAGCCTCTGCCATGGGACAGCCTCTGCCATGTGTCATCACTGCTGTGTTTTCAGGAGACACTGCAGAGGCAGAGTGACCACTGTCCTCTCATTTTCCTCTGTGGGTGAATTAAGACTTCTCTAACCTTAGAAGTAACAAGCATCAGCCAGTGGCATACCCAGGCTGCCGATACTACAGAGATGGTTATGGAGACACATGGTGTCAGGAATGTGAACGCTGTTCCCTGCTGTCCCTTACTACCGCGTGCCTCATCAGTCTGCCCTTTTTAGTGGCCTCCTGTGGGGTTTAGCAAGTTCTGGTGGCAGGAAAGAGGCAGGCAGGCAGTGCAGCTGGTCCTTTCTTTAGGAGACTGATTCCTCATGTTCTCCAAAAGGAAGCCACGCAGCTCTGTCAGGACTCATGATCCCAACTGTGTGCAAAGCATGTTTTATACATTAAGATGAGGTGTTCAGGGATTCTGTGAACAGGGAATGTGATGACTTTGTTTTTCTGCTTCAGCTAAAGCCAATTCAAATACATTCAAACCCACTGTCTACATATAACCAACAACTATGGCTGACGTGTGTGGTTGAGCTGGAGCCCTCAGAAGGTAGGTATACAGCCTGATACATAGAGTGGCTTGTTGTGTTTGGTCTAAACTCTCATTCTGAAGAGGTGGAAAAGACTTACAGTATTGGGGCACACACTGCAGATATGTGTAGGAAGATGCCCAGGGCTGACACTAGGGAAGACTGGAAGCCCCTCTGCTGTGTCCCAGTGGGAGTCGAGGAGCAGCTCTGTAGGGTATGGATGAGAGAGAATTATGTCCCGATACCCCAAGGCATGCTTTTGATCCCCGGGGATACTTGGTAATGTGTGGGCACAATTTGACATGGGGAGAGGCCAGGGCTGCCACTGAACATGTTTTAGAGCGTGCCCACGGGAGGGAGGAGGGGGCTGAGAAGCCCGGCCCTGGGACTCCTTTGTTTTCAAAGACCAGCTTTGACACAAGCAAAGTCTGCCTTGACACAAGCATTACTCCAGGAAAGACTTTAAAGACCATCCCTTGACCACAGTAAAAGAAGTGAGAAAAAGCAAGTTTAGAAGATGGTCTAGAAGAAGGATGGACACAAAAATGCTAATTATGGTTATTGGGATGGGATAGTAACTGTTCAGTGAAGCCACCAGCCACCTTTATCTTTGTATTTTTTTTTGTTTGTTTAAATACTTGTGCATGGGGGGATGCACACCTGTGTGTTGGTGCAGAAGGCAAAAGAAGGCATCCTGTGTCTTCTTACGTCACCCTCCACCTGTTCTTTTGAGCCATGACCTCTCCTTGAACCTGGGGCTCATGTTTTCTCGGCTGCATTGGAAGCCAGAAAGCCCCCATCTTCTCTCCATGGTTCTAGGGTTACAGGCACGTGTGGGACCCTTGTACAGCGGCTCGAATCTGAATTTCAGTCCTAAGCAGGAAGCTCTCTTGAACACTGAGCCATCTCTCTCTTTAAAAACCTATTGCATTTATTTATTAGAGAGAAAGTGGGTCAGAGGATAACTTCAGGGAGTTGGTTCTCTCCTTCCACCATGTGGGCCCTTGGTATGGAACTGAGGTGGTTAGCCAGATTTAGCTGCAGGCTTACCTGCTGAACCATCTCAACAGCCCTGTTCTCTTTTTTATAATAAAAATATAATTAGACTAATTTTAATCAGAAATAGAGATCTAATTCCTGGTATATAAAGAATTTATGTGAGAATTAAAGGGATAATTTCCTACCCATGCATCCTGATGTGTAGTGAAATGGATGATCAGAAATTCAAGGTTAACATAACACAGGACCTTCAGCAAAGGTGGGAGGTAGCAAAGGTTTTGCTTTGCTGAATAATGCAAGACTTTCAAACATGGAGGGGGGTGGTAATGCAGCCTTATCATGTTCCTGGGTGGTCTCTGTGTGTCTGTCAGTGGGTGCCTTTGCTGCTGGGAGGTGCCTGGTGTGGTCTCACCCAATGTGGAGAACTAAATTTCTTTCTCTTGTAGAAACATCTATTAAAACCAGCTTCTCCATGACTGTGAAAGTCAATGGTGTGGCTCAAGATGGAACCACGATCTACATTCATAACAAGGTTCACAATCGGACAAGGATGCTCTCATGTGCAGGGGTGAGTGTGTTTGATGTCTCCACAGTTAGTCAAGTGATAGCTTCAAATGCTGCCACAGACCTGCTTGTCCAGCAAACGGGAGCAGCTCAGTGAAGGTTTCAAAAGTGGGTTTTAAAATTTAATTAGATTAGCATGCAGATAATGGGTCTCCTCATGCAGTCTGCAGACACATGCCATTATACTTGGTTCTCATCTGTTCCCTTCCCATTGGCCTCCTTTACTCTGGTTCCCTTCCTCCCCACACACACCCCAGTTAGACCTGCTTTCTTCTTTTTTACAGTGTGTCCTGTCTCCTGTTTCCCATTTCTCAAAATTGTGTCCCTCTCATGACCCTCATTCTACTTTTATAACCTACACTCAACACACACAGATACACACATGTGTAAACTCCATACATAAATTTAAGTCTAGGTTTTGCACATAAAACATGCAGTATCTGTCTTTCTAATCTGGCTTGTTTTGCTTAGCACATTGCTTTTCAGTTGTATCCATTTTCCTGTGACCCTCATGATTCCATTTCCTCCTGGTTACATAAAATTCCATTTTGTATGTATGCTGTATTTCCTTCCTCTAGTCATCTGTTGATGGATATCCAGGTTGGTTGCATTTCCCAGCTTCTGTCAGCGATGTAGCAGTAAACATAAATATGCCAGTGTCGGGCATATCCCAGGACTGCTATAGCTTGGGTCATATGACAGTTCTAGCTTCAGTGTTTTGAACCCTTCCCTTCCCACTGATATCAGTAGCGGCTGTAGATTACACTCCTACCAGCAGTGAATACGGCTCCTCTCTGCACACGTTTGTTGGGATTTGTTTTCTTACTAATAGCCCACTATGACAGGGGTAGGATGAACTCTCAAAGAAAGCACTTTTAATTTGCATTTCCTTGATGACTACAGATGTTGAGCACTTTTTGAAGCAATTATCATTTATGTTTCTTGCTTTGAGAACTGTGTGTCCAGTTCTTTAGTCCATTTACTGATTGGGTGATTTGAGTTTTGGTGTTTAGTTTTTGTGGTTCTTTATCTATCCTAAATATTAATCCCCTGTCTGATGTGTAGTTGACAAAGACCTCCACCCTCACCCACCACCACCATTCTGTAGTCTGTCTCTTTACTATGGTGAGTGCTTCATTTGCCACACCGAAACATTTAATTCCATGTAATTACACACACACACACACACACACACACACACACACACAGTCTGCCACAAACCCTGAGCCCATATGATTGCTGTTGGTAGGTGATGTGGAAGGCCAGGCCTCAGATGAACCTCTGCCTCTGTTCAGGGTCTGTCTTGATCAAGGTGGCTTTGGGTGGTTTGTACTGGGTGTTGGATGCCCTGATTCCTCTGTAGATGGAGGACAGAGTGCCCAGGCCTTTTGGGGTCAGCAACCCCATCTTTAGGATCTGCTGTGGGATATAGTGTGTGGCTGGGGGATCTAGCCTAAGAATGAATTCTCATACCTTTACTCATCCATACTGTATTCTTTTCAGAAGCCAGTAACTCAGACCCCATTCCTGCCGTAGCCGGGAGCCACAGGTCCCTGGCAGTGGGAGCACTTGAAGAAGGTCGGAACAGGCAGGGTGTTGATTAGAGGCCCAGCTAGACAAGGAATGTTGGAGTGGGTTGCAAGGTTTCACACTGCGTACATTCTGTGTGCCTCTCATTAAATCTTCACAGGAGGCCCGCAGGGTAGAAACTACTACCAGAATCTACTTTATAAAAGAAGAAACAGACTTCAGGAGGTCACAGCCATTGTCCAGGCTGACACAGATACTAAGTGGGAGGGGCAGGATCTGAGCTGGTGCTCTTTTATCCGGAAGCTACTTTAACCACATTCATCTTGCCGAGTTACTAACAGTAAGAATACTGCCAGTTTCTCCTGGCAAGACGAAATTTGAGCAGGGAAGGACTCCTGTGCAGTGGCTAGTCCCCTTCTTGTGGTTCCTTTCTGCTGATTCAAAGGGTTCAGAACCCCAGCCTGAGGGTGCTGAGCTCTAGACACTAGAGCTGTGCTGGGGTGGGGCTGGAGGGCTCCACAAGAGTGGAGTTATGACAGTGGTGGCTCTCACCACAGCAACCACAGCCATACCCATCACAGACAGGGTGGTGTCTAGGGAACTAGCTGACCCCTCACCCTGTGTCCCTTTTCCCACCAAAGCAAGCAGCCTGAGCCAGTTTCTGGAAGGTATTTTTGTCTGTGGGGGATCAGGCCCTTCTGGCCTGTTCTGGGGAAGTCACCAGGATCAGGGTCCCCCATGTCCGTACTGTCCTGTGGGCAGGAGGCACTTGGTCAGTCCTGCTGGATAATGAAAATCATGTATGAAAGTCCCAGGGGCTTTTTCCCAGCTGGAATGAGAAGATCTTTCTTGGCCACTGAGTGGGACACACAGCTGCTCACTGCAACTGGTCACCCTGGCTGGCCTGTCTGAGAGATTTCCCAGCACACAGGACTTTCAGTTCTTGGCTTCAAGGAGAGCGAGCTGTCTAGAGGCTAGGTTATATGGCTGCTCCCGGGATGTGCCCACCACAGCTATCTTCAAAGTAGACCTTTAGAGCACCTCTGTGGGGCCTTCCTGCCCATGTGGGGTGACCCTGCATGGTTTACTCTGGTCACTATTTGAGAACATCTCCCCTCTGTTTCATAGGCACTCTCCTTATTGCTGCAAGGAAATTGTCCTAACCCAAGAAAACAAGAAATTTTTATGTTACTTTGATATTTGCCACCCTCTTGCATTTTGAAATCTTTTTATTTTGTGTATATGTGTGGAGTGTGTGTGTGTGCATGTTTGCATGTTTGCACACATGGTTGGGTGTTGGGTGTCTCCCTCACTCATTCGGCACCTTATATATTAAGTTAGGTCCTTCACTTGAGCCCAGAGCTCACCATAGGCAGCCTTGCTTTAGAAATCCTGTCTCCTCCAGAGGCTGGAACCACAGGAGACAAAGATCCCGACTCTGGTCCTCATGCTTGCTTGGCCAGCGCTTTCTCACCGAGTCACTTCCCCAGCCTTCGTTTCTAATTTGATATCAAACAAACCAACACCACCAGCACCCCAGGTGGTGAGGAAGCTTTGGTCCTTTTACCAGCTGCTTCGTAATCAAACAGCATGGCTTGACCCTGGGATCTACAAATCCTCAGGTGGCTTCACTATTGAGTCTGTGACAGTACATATGAACTGAGCTATAACTCCTAATAAGAACAGTGTGTGTGTGTGTGTGAGAGAGAGAGAGAGAGAGAGAGAGAGAGAGAGAGAGAGAGAGAGAGAGAGATGACCAGGTGGTGGTAGCACACACCTTTAATCCCAGCACTCGGAAGGCAGAGGCAGGTGGATCTCTGTGAGTTCAGGGCTAGCCTGGTCTACAGAGTGAGTGCCAGGACAGGCTCCAAAGCTACAGAGAAACCCTGTCTGAAAAAACAAACTAACAAAAAAACCTCTGGAGAGACAGCTCATTTGCTGATCTTCCAGAGACTTAAGTTCACTTCCCAGCTTCCCAGCACCCACATCAGGTGGTCCACAACCTCCTATAACTCAAGGTTTCTGATGCCCTCTTCTGGCATTTTTGGGCATGTGCATGTGAATGAACACAGACACACACACACACACACACACACACACACACACACACACACACACACACACACACACAGAATAAACATGAACATTGCAAAGGGTTCTTTTACGTGTAAGAAATGTCTCTAACAGCTGGGCAGTGGTAGTGCACACCTTTAATTCCTGCACTCAGGAAGCAGAGGCGGGCAGAGTCTATAGAGCGTGTTCCTGGATAGCCAGGGCTACACAGAGAAACCTTGTCTTTAAAAAAAAACAAACAAACAAAAAAAGAAAGAAAAGAAAGGAAGGACGGACAGACGAACATGTCTCTTTCTCACAGAAGGTATACTGGGGTACTGCTGACATTGAATCTGCCCGTTCCTGGTTCCACTGAGTCCTTAGGGATACCTGTGACTGATGATGGTCACAGCAGAAAAGGGAGTGTACTTTGCTGGAGATGAGAGTCATGCATGTGGAGAGGGAAGCCGCTCTGGTGGGAGGAGATCACAGCTGACTCCTGCTCTGCCTTGGGAGAGATGCTCCTGTCCCCTGCCATTGCTCTCTTGTCTCTTGTCTAAGGCCTGTTACATAAAGCCCTGGCCTGTCTTCTAACCCCGACCTCAGACACTGGGCACTTGGTACGCTTAGCCAGCGTAGATCTGACTGTACTGTTGGGAGCCACAATGAAAGTTATGGGCCCTGGCTGCGCAGCCATTGCAGAGGGAGTGACTGCCCAGATGATGGAGCAGTGGTTGAAGGTCCTGTGGAGGGTCGGAGCAGAGCTGCGATGGAGAGTCCCACTGGGGAAGGGTTTACCGTGTAGTGGGACCCTGAGTCCTAATCCGGAAGGGCTAGAGAGTGGGGCTAAGTAGCCCATGGAGTGTCCACTCTGTCATCCACGGGATCCACTTGTCATTGCTTGCAGCCTTCGCTTTTGTTGTGGAGACAGGAATGAGGGAGGGAGATCCATAGGAAACAGTACGCTGAAATCAAGGAGAGGAAAACACGTTACTCATAGACTGCACATGGTCACAGCCTTGCAGGGTGGGTCCAGGCCAGGCAAGCTCTGAGGCCTGTTCTGCTGGCTAAGTGTGCAGGGAGCCAGGCTTGTGTGATACCTGGTCCTTCCATCATCTGCAGTAGGACGATCACTGTTAGTCATGAAATGCCCACTGGGCGCCTGCTTTCTAGGAACTGTACTCAGCTGGCATCTGCCTTTCTCTGAGCGTTTGGCAAGTTCTGAGATGATGCCTTCTGTTCAGCTGTTGTTGGAACAAGTCACTTGGGGTTTGTGGGTGGGATGGTCCTTTCCACTTGCCTTTGTGACACGAACCTCCTCTCTTTCAGAAATGTGCAGAAATCATCGTGGCCCACCTTGGCTACCTGAATTACACGCAGTACACAGTGACCGTGGGATTTGAACACCTGAACCAGCCCATCAAGGAGATGAACTTCACTGTGAGTACACAGCCAGCTGCACACCTCTGTGGCTCCCTCGTTAGGTGGTTGGATACATCAGTGCCTCATGTGATTTCTTTTGGAAAACCTGTTTTTTAAGCCTGTGGAACCAAGAATAGCTTAAACAGCACAGAAACTGGAGAAGCCGGGGCCCACGTAGGCAGAACAGCCTACATGACTATTAGGGTTGCAGATTCATATGTATATTTTTTCCCTAAGTATTTTAGGAAATACTTCTCACACCTACATGTTACACAAGTCTGCTTTCTTTTCATGCAAAGATTGGCAAGGCTGACTTTTGATAGGAAGTTTAAAATTCAAATGTCTTTATAATAATTATGGAATAATTTATCTGCCAGATTCACCACTTAAAACCATTTCCAGAAGTTCTTAATATTTAAGATTTTTTTATTTGTTACTTTTGTTTGTTTTCTGTCTTGTTTTTGAGACAGGGTTTCTCTGTTATAGCCCTGGTCACTCTGTAGACCAGCCTGGCCTTGAACTCATAGAGATCCCTCTGCCTCTGCCTCCCGAGTGCCAGGATTAAAGGTCTGTTCTTTAATTTTGAAATAAAAGGTGTTAAAAATTTGCAACATTGTGAGAAAACAGAAGGGAAAAGCATTTTAAATTCCTCAGCAATGGTCACTCATAGTCAGTGTGTCTGCCTGAGCCCTCACCATGGGACACTGTTTCTGATAGTTGTTTCCCCTTCGGGTGTAGATTTGACTTTTGGTGTCTTGCACTTGCACAGGTTACACAGACCCCTGTCCCATCCACCTTCACCCTGCGCACACTTCTCTGTTTCCTCTTTCAGTGGAAAACATACAACCCTGCATTTTCCCAGCTGGAGCTCTGGTTCCGCTTCGTGTTTGTGGTTCTCACCTTCATCGTCACTGTGAGTGTCATTTTGGGGGGGGGGGCGTTGTGCAGCTCTGGCCCAGTCACTGGGGATGAGGCTAGTCTGTGAAGTTCTAATTGGTACAGAGCAAGCACCAGGGAGCTTTACCCAGACTCTTGAGTGAGGCCCTCCTGTGGTCTGGCTGGGTCTTACTAACCAGTCTGTGTCCACAGAGGCACTGTGCTGCAAAAAGAATGGATAATGAATCATTCCATGGGTATTTCTGTATAGTTAGCATAAGAGTTGTTGTTGCCTACTGGGGTCTAGTAAATACCCAACTAGGGTCTAGTAAATACCCATTGCCATGATGGAACGTATGGGTCAGGGTCAGGGTCAGGGTCAGGGTCAGGGTCATTAAACCCTCCTGAAAAGGAATTGGCCTTGTTGGAGGGACAGTCTCAGCCTCTTGGATTCTTATATTTGGAAAATTATTCTGGAAGTTTGAGTTTGGGGACTTTTGAAGGAAGAGCTTGCAGAGAAATGATTCTGCAAACAAAAACTGACGGTTCATTTGGGACCTGGAATTTATGCCCACAAGTCCACTCGCTTTGGGAAAATGTTAAAGCACAGGACAGAGGGTGCCCAAGAAAGCCCAGCCATGGAAACAGAGATGTAGAAATTGGACACAGAGTACATGTGTTTAGTGCCTGACTGACTCCTGGCAGTTCTGCTGTCAGCTGCTGAGTACCCTCCTGCTGACAGGAGTGTGGCATTAGATCTGTAGTGTGTAGGGATGACCTCTCCACTGGCATCTAAGTACCCTTGGCATATTGTAGTGCCACAGTGGAGGGCAGCACACAGGCGTGTACTGAAGGTATGGATAGAGGCAGAGTGCAAACCCTTGAATCAGATGCCTTAGGGTGGCTATGCCATGCCTGGGGCCATGAAGAATGAAGTGGACCACTGGCTCATAGTTGGTCTGTCAGAAATCCTCCATATTTTTTTATTTTTTTTTTTTGAGGCCTACCTGGTATCTGGATTCTCTTGGGGCCCAAAGATTGGTAACCACAGCCCTAAGTTTGTTCTTAAATGGGGAAGGGGCCTGAACATCAGCAGATAACCTGTGCTGGGGAAAAACAGCCCCCAGTCAGGAAATTTCAGGGGCCCAGAAAGTTTAATATTAGGTGACAGGGAAGAAAATAACCTCTGTGTAACACATTGTACAGTGTTTGAAAGCTGTTTAAAGACATTTCTCCCAAGGGCTCTTCACACAATGGAGGTGTTTGAAAACATGTGCAGCCTCTGATTGTGGCATGGCTTTGCCTCTTGGCTTTTTCCTGGGGATCCTAATATCCTGAATACATGGTGCCATCTGTCAACTGTGCTGCTGGGTAGGTGACCTGGTGGCATCTACAGACGTGCTTGTGCTCTGGGAAGTCCTGTGAGCCTCCAGTGGGAACAGGCCCGACTGACGCAACCCAAGCAGAAAAGCAAGGCCTGGGCATGTTTTCTGTCTGCAGAGAATTCATGGCCTTGCGGAAGCTGCTTGTGGCCCCTGCCACCTGTGGCCCCATGAAGCAATTCCACTTCTTTGTCTTAGCCATCATGGATGCCTGGTGGCACCTCAGTAGTCAATTTAACCAACTGGTGACTGACCCCGTGGATCTTGCCTGGTGCCTCCCGATGGGGTGAGACTCACCCTGCTGGGAGTCAGGGCCCAGCAGACAGTCATGGGGCCATTTGCTTTTGCAGTGCCTGTTTGCACATTCCCTGCGCAAGTTCTCCATGAGAGACTGGGGCATCGAGCAGAAATGGATGTCTGTCCTCCTGCCGCTGCTGCTGCTCTACAACGGTGGGTGCCATTTTCATCTCAGGGCTTTCCCCCTTCCTGTTCAGAGCTAGCAGTCATCTCGAAAGGTTGCCTGGTCTCAGAGAGCCTGGGAGTGTCCGAAGGGAATCCCCGGAGGAATATGTTGTGGCACACCCCTGCCCCCAGGCACCGTGTTCCGCAGCCATAGCAGATGCTTAGATGTTGAGCAGACACAGACTGCCTGGGTAGTGGGCGCTTGGCTGAGGTGCCCGTCTGTGCATGAGTGGCTGTCTCTTCCTCTGTCCCCATTCCAGAGAGCATCTGTTGCTTCCTGAGCTGTGGCTCTGGGAGTTCGCAGGCTGTGGAAGGAGCTGACACTGGGCAGATGGCACTCTCTCTGTCAGGGTCACTGTGTTCAATCTGCTCAGTGGCTTTAGACATTCAGAAAACAAACTCGCCTTTGGTTTGCCCCCTGCCCTTCAGCTCTGACCAGGAGCTAACACAACAGTGAGCTCTGAGATTAAAAAGAGGCTGGGGGTTCTGGGCTGGTTGCCAGCCAGCTATGTTCTTGCTCATGTTCGACACTTCTGCCTTCCAGACCCGTTCTTCCCGCTCTCCTTCCTGGTGAACAGCTGGCTCCCAGGGATGCTGGATGACTTCTTCCAGTCTCTGTTCCTTTGTGCCCTGCTGCTCTTCTGGCTGTGCGTGTATCATGGGATACGGGTCCAGGTAAGCAGACAGACAGACAGACCATCTCCCAGTGCCCATCATCCTTCAGAATGAGTGGTGCCCTGAGACCCTCCCCAGCCTACACCGCACAACAGGGGCATGCTGGGTAGGAGTGTTTTGGGTCTAATATGCTCCTTTAGGGTTAGTCATTATTTGTTGTATTTCTTACTTTTTTTTTTCCTTTTCCTTAGGGAGAAAGAAAATGCTTAACTTTCTATTTGCCTAAATTCTTCATCGTTGGACTGTTGTGGCTGGCTTCCGTTACACTGGGAATATGGCAGACGTGAGTATTGCTGCTGGGTGTGAAACAGTCACCCCTGGAAAGTGTGGACAGCAATGGGCAGGCTGGACCTGCCTGCCCTGTGATCTCCCCTGGCTCACCCGTACTCAGACAACTCAATCCAAGGAATTGGGCTTGACTTGTGTGGTATGCATCAAAAGGTTTCCTAATGTGAGGTGGAAAGTGAGAAAGCCTGTGTTGTCGTAGACTTCTTTAGCGAGAAAGGACTTGGTTTGCTGGGACAGTATCCAGGACTGCCCAGAAAAGACATTGGAGCCCCCTCTTGCATCTTCAGGCTTTCATACCCTTGCAGAGTTTCAAGCTTGATCCTGGTTAGACTCATGTGATCCTGGTTAGACGTGTACCACTTTTGTGAAATAGCTCTGCTGGAAGAGCTATGCATCACTGCCTAACTCGCCAAAGACACTGCTTGGTACCTGACACAGTATGGGTCTTGTGGCGTTTCATGCCTCATTCATGCCACAGTGGCACTGACAAGACTTCATGCCATCCAAGTCACTTCCTTCCCTGACAGCCTAGCTCCCGATGCTAATTCTGAAATTGAAGTTCATGCAAGTGTATATTGCTTTTTTAATTTATTTTTTTCTTGCTCTACCTTCATGTATCTCACATGCCCAAGTGTGCCGTTAAAATAGCTCCTGGAGCTGGAGAGATGGCTTGGTAGTTGGTGTCCCGCTCTCCCAGAGGACCTAGGTTCACTTCCCAGCACCCATATCAAGTAGCTCACAACCACCTATAACCACAGCTCCAGGGATCCTACACCTCTGGCCTTCCCAGGCACCTGTACTCATGTGCACATATCATCCCCCCAACACATACATACACGTAATTTAAAAGGCAAATCTTTTATAGAAGATAGCTCTTTAAACTGTGTAAGGGGTGTCTGTAAGAAACAAATCCTGCACCTTCACCCTACCGATGAGCATGGGCCACTATGTCCAGCATAGTGCTAGGTACTTTTCCAATGTAAAATATAGAGTTGCTATTTAAAAATCTTCCAATGGTGGTAGCAGCTACTGTTTGTTTACAAGCAAAAAAGAAGAAAGAAAACCCTGAGTCAGGAAAAGTGTGAAATACAGAGTAAGCTTTCTTATTAGTCTGTATTTTTAACATCATCCTTTTAGAATTAATGAACTACACGACCCCATGTACCAGTATCGTGTTGACACGGGAAACTTCCAGGTAAGCACTGTTCGTGCAGCCTCACATGCATTAGTCTTTTTGTGAAGTGGCTGCTTTTGTAACTCTAATCACCCTGTTAGTACAAGCTCCCAGTGGCTGTTTAAAATCGAATATAGGAAGTTGAGGGGTAGAAGATCTGGGGAGATTTGGTAAAGTACTTGCCACACAGGCATGAGAGCCTTAGCCAGAGAGGGCACTGGACTGGAAAAGAGACTGGTCTAGGATCTGGGGAGACCAGAGGATTCTGGGATGAGGGCCCTGGGGCCGGGCACCCTGGGAGGAGCTTAGTTCAGAAAGAGAATCCATGTTGAGTGGTGGAGGTGCGGGGTTGAAGCCAGCTATAGGCAGGGCAACAGTTTCAAGGGATTTTCTGGGTAGAGGATGGTTCCAGGAAGGAGCAGCTATGGCCCATTTATTTCACAGGGAAGAGTCAGCCAAGACTGTGACCCTTGCAGATTTAGAGGACTTGGTGGTGATAGACTAGCCTGCCATTACCATTGCACTTTTCTGGCCTGGTTTGTCGTTTCTGGCAAACCAAGGCAGAGTCAGGAGCCACACTGCAAGGCCTTACAGGCTCAGCCAGTGGCTGAACCCCCTCTGTTTCTTCATCTATAAAATGGATCAATAATGGAATCTCCCATGTCATACAAGGAATACAGAGCTCTTGGCCAGATGTAGCAGGCAAGGATCCGTCCTGAATTGTTGGCGAGCCCTTTCCTTCCCAGCAAGGCTGTCTAGAATGGAGCTGTGAGGGCTCAAGAACAGAGAGCAGCCCACACCCTTTACTGAAGGACACAGCAGGGATCAGAGACTGATAGTGTACTGGGAACTGCTGCCCTGCCCCTCCCTGTCTGTGACGACGTGGATCCAGACTGAAGGCCCTTGCACAGCAGAAGAAAGCCCTGGTTCCTGACCTGCAGCCTCACCCTCAAGGCTGTGACCATGAGAGAGGGACTCTGCTTCAGGAAGTTCAGGAAAGGGGTCAAGCTCCTACGCAGTGGTGCCTCATAGGCAAGAGGGCTCAATGAGGGAGTACATATCACCATCTCATCAGAGCCACTGGCCTGGCCCTCAGACAAGGGCTTTCCCATCCTCAAGCAATGGAAGGGAATGTTTCCAGACCTCAGGTCTCCTAGAACCTTCCATTCAGCCCTCCTTTCTCAGGAACACCAGCCGGGTCCAGCCCTACGTCCTGTCAGCATAACCTTTGTCCTCAGTAGCACAGGGACCAGGCCCCACCCCCAGTGGCTGCCACCAATTGCCCAGCACTGTCTGGCCTCAGGTTTTAGGCAAAGCACAGGTGCTTAAGTTTGAGTGACCTTGGCATGAGATGCCTGTGCTTGGGGAGCCCTTCCTAGTGCTGTCGCAGTAGGGTGACCTAAGGCCCTGGGTCCCCTCTAATCACCCTGGGCTTCCACCCCTGTGGATGCCAAAGGGTACACACTCCACTGCCTAGTCTCAACCTTACCTACCTCCTTTATTACAGGGTATGAAGGTCTTCTTCATGGTGGTGGCCGCTCTATACGTTTTATACCTCCTGTTCTTGATAGTGCGAGCATGCTCTGAGCTCCGTCACATGCCTTATGTGGGTGAGTGCCACTCTGGGAAGTATGGGGCAGCAGGGGCCACACCCCCAGAAGCCGTAGGTCCTAGAAATCCATCAGGAAGGATTGGCAATTTGGAGAGAAGCCTTTAAAGTAGAAGCAGTGGTGCCACAGGGCTATGAGAACTGCCAGGGACCTATAAGACCATAAATAGCACTGTCCTTGACCAGGGCAAGCCACTGGATTTAGGACCCCACTGTGTATGGCCTTCCCCAGCCACAGTAGATCAGGCATAGAGCATGCAAGGGAGAGGGCCTGCCCAGGGTGGCTTTGTTTATTGTCTTTAAAACTCTGAGGTGAGGTGGAATTTGTTAATGGGAGCATCTCCTTCATTTTTCAGATCTCAGGTTAAAGTTTTTGACTGCATTGACCTTTGTAGTGCTGGTTATTAGGTAAGACTTTATTTTGTGTGTGTGTGTGTGTGTGTGTGTGTGTGTGTGTATGCATATGTGCATCAGGGTGTGGTTGGGTGTGCATGTGTGTGTCAGGTTATGCTTGATATGTTCGCATGTGTATCTGGGTGTGCATGCATGTCTGGGTGTGCACACATGTGTATGTCTAGAGCCAGAGGCTCAACATGAGTGTCTTCCTCTTTCATTTCCACCTTACTATTTTTTATATTAACTACTTCATTAATATGTTGTGTGTGTTGGGGTGTGCACATGTATGTGGAGGTCAGAGGAAAAGTTGAATCTCTGCTGCTCCCTCCTCCCATGTGTGGTCCATGGATGAAACTCAGGTTGTCAGGCGTGGCCTCAGGCATCTCTTCCTGCTGGGCTGTCTTGTTGGCCCAGTTCTCCATCTTAGATTTTTAGAGACAGGGATGTCCCTGGACCCCGAGCCCACTGATTGGCTAGACTGGCTATCCAACCATCTCTGCACACCTCCAGGCCACTTCCCAAGCGCTTACAGACGCCTTCCACCACTCCCAGCTTTTACCTGGCACCAGGGATCTGAACTCAGGTCCTCATGCTCGCATGACAGCCACAGAGCTTCTCATAACCCAGGACTTCATTTCCTGTTATCTCTGTGTGGAGTTACTTCAGGGTACTTGTGGCTACACATATCCACAAAGTCAGAGGGCTCCTGGTTAAAGTTATATGACAGCCAGACTATGGCAGCATACACCTTTAATCCCAGCATATGGGAGGCAGAGGCAGAGGCAGGTAGGTCTCTGAGTTTGAGGTCAGCCTGGTCTACAGAACAAACTCCAGGAAAGCCAGAGCTACACAGAGGAACCCTGTCCCCAAAAAAACAAAACAAACAAAAAGTCATATAACAGTCTGGGTAACAAAAGTTCCTCTATGAATGTCCTGGCTGATGAAGCCATTAACCCCACCACTGTTCCCTCCTCACTCTGAACCCTGCCAAACACATGCAGTCACCCACACCAGGGAAGTATATCCTTGGAGGTATCCCTGAGGAGCGTCTAGGCCCCCAGATCCTTTAGTAGTGAGGACAGGACTGGGCAAGAGCAATCAGCAGGCATCAAGGAGAAGCCACTGTCGGGGCAGGTGGCAGCCATCCACAAGGCCCTCCCACAGGCAGCTGTTTCTCTGAATAAGTTCCAAGAGATTGTTAAGGCAACCCAGTGAGTGCCAGAGCTGCTCTTTTGGTTGTTTGGACAGTGCATAGTGGATGTTGTGTTTTTCCCGGGAGCCACAGTGACTATGGGGGTCACATAGGTATGTGTATAGGAGTTTCCTGTTAAGTGTTAATGGGGTGAGCACTTCTGTACTTTACACTGTGGTTCTCTTCTCTTTCAGCATCATCATCCTCTATCTAAGGTTTGGAGCACAAGTGTTACAAGACAACTTTGTAGCGGAACTGTCGGCTCACTACCAGAATTATATCCTTGACCTGGGGAACCAGGCCTGCGGGCTGCCCTGTGTTCATGGTTAACACCTTAGCTTTGGGCATTTTCCAGGGGATGGATCAGCCCCTTATGACCTGTGCTCAGCAGGCCTCAGGCAGGCCTTGCCCTCTCTCTTGGCTCCCTGTTGGCCCTGGGAAGGGTAGGTTTCATCTGTCCTTCTTTTTAGGCAGGAAGTTCACACACAGCAGGGCTGAGTCAGTGCCCAAGATTAGTCACTGTGTGCACAGCCTGGATCCAAACTGATGACCACACTAGCCCATCCTCAGGGCCTGGCTGCTCTCTTCTCAGTGGGGCAGTCTAGGAGAGAGAGAGAGAGAGAGAGAGAGAGAGAGAGAGAGCCCTGAGTGTGCCAGTGTGTCAACGGCATCTTCTAAGCATCACTCAGGTGCAGCCAGTTGTCAGCATCATCATGCTGACAGTTTGGCTTGTGAGTCTGGGTACAAGGAAGGCTCATTCAGCACCAGAGCTTCTATTCCCACTGTGCCCACATCCTGGCCATGTCCTGTTTCTCCTGGCATCCCTGTCCGTGGTCAGATGATGGAACACATGTGTATCTTGGGATTAATGATGGCTTTTTAAAAAAAGTGTGACTAAGCTCTACACTGACTTCTTAGGTACTTGAGGGTCTGTAGTGTGGAGGAGGTGGAGGAACTCTGAGCTTTTGTTCTGCATTTTCTTGTGTCAGGAGACCTCAGTCCCCTTCCTGTTCAGAGTTATGAACCCTGAAGGGTCCTTGTGACATCTGGCCATGGGCTAAGGATTAAGGCATCCTGGCATCTGGGCTGTGGACCCACCCCACTCCCCCAAGCTGGTCAACAGTTCATCCTGAAAAGGGCTTCAGGGGAATGGGAGGAGGTGGAGGCTTACATGTCCAAACCCATGCTTCTCCCTTGACCAATACCCACCAGCGGAATTCCTGTCTTTCTATGGCCTGCTGAACTTTTATCTGTACACGCTGGCCTTCGTGTACTCTCCGTCCAAGAATGCTCTGTACGGTGAGCCACCTCGGGTCTGGGGTGCTGTCCATATAGCTGAAACACAAGTTTCCATTGGCTCGTGTTTTCCCTGGGTACAGGGTCCTGTAACAGAGAGAAGGCAGGTGAATGGTAGCCTGAAGTTGAACAAAGGGCCCAGCAATGCTGTACCCATGATGTCACAGTCTCACAGTTAAACTCAGGACAATGCAATACTGTACCTCTGTCACAGTCTCACAGCTGAACACAGGACATGGCAGTGCTATACCTATGATGTCACAGTCTCACAGCTGAACACAGGACATGGCAATACTGTGCCTATGCTGTCACAATCTCACAGCACACCCCTGCTGACTTTGTTTGAGGCTTTGGATCTATCTCCTTCAGACTTCTCCCTGGCTAATAACACAAAACGCTCTCTTTAAAAAGGCATTTGTTGCCGGGCGTTGGTGGTGCATGCCTTTAATCCCAGCACTTGGGAGGCAGAGGCAGGCAGATCTCTGTGAGTTCGAGTCCAGCTTGGTCTCTAGAGCGAGTGCCAGCCACAGAAAATCCCTTTGGGGGGGGGGGGGGGGGGGGGCATTTGTTGATTTTTTTTTTTTCAGAGTCCCAGCTAAAAGACAACCCTGCATTTTCCATGCTGAATGACTCTGATGACGATGTGATTTACGGGTAAGTCACTGTCACCATGTGCCTTCCAGCCTGGCTCTGTCTGCTTACTGAACTGATAGTATTTTGAAGACTGTCTCCATGACATTAGACTGTTGGCTGGGAGCATCCGGAGTTTTATGGCTTTGTTTTATGTGCTTCACATGGAATACTTGCAGTGTGTCGTACCTACAGAATAGGTTTGTCTGAATTAATGGGTGCCAGGAGTCAAGGTGGGGAGAGTGGACAGTGTCAGGTGACTAGACCCTAAGAGAAAGGTTGTAAGATGGGTTCATTCAGTACAGCAGTGTGGCAGGAAAGCAGAGTGAAGGGCTACCAGGTGGGGGCTGGAGAGGTAACTGAGTAAGTACCTGCTGTGTAAGTGTAGGACCCAAGTTCAGATCCCAAGGGCCCATGCAAAATGCCAGACTCTGAGCTGGGCGTGGTGGTGCATGCCCTTAGTCCTAGCACTCAGGAGACAGAGGCAGGCAGATCTTTGAGTTCAAGACCAGCCAAGGCCACATAGTGGATCCTATCTCACAAAACAAAACACAACACAAATAAAAGCCAGGCCCAATGCTCAGTGGTACACACCTATAATCCCAGCATTAGGGGTTGGGGACAGAAGGCTCTCTGGGGCTCAGTGAACAGCCACTCTAGCTGAATCAGTGAGCTCCCAGTTCCAGAAGATACCCTGTCTCAATAAAGAAAAAGACACCTGATGTTGCCCTCTGGCCTCCACACATGTGCACACACAGCAAGAGATGCCAGAGTGGCAGAGTGTCAAAGGTCTCTTTTATAACAGGAGTGACTATGAAGAAATGCCCCTCCAGAACGGCCAGGCCATCCGGGCCAAGTACAAGGAAGAGTCGGACAGTGACTGAGCCCTGGCAGCAGATGGGACAGCAAGGGGGGCAGAGGCCTTCCTTAGTGATGTGCCCTGGACCTTTCCTCTGTGTGTTTTTGGACTCCTGTAAGCAAGGATTTTCCCGTTCCTTATTTGTTTACATATTTTTAAAAGAAAAACCAAATGGATTGAAATGTTGGTTGCAGTTTGCTGTCAGGGCAGCTCCACTATTGATTAAGAGGCTGGCTGGCAGAGAAGCCAAAGGCAAATCCTTTCACAGAAACACCGGATGAGAAGGAGCCTGTGTGTGATGAGGAGGAGAAATTATCCAGCTTAATAAAAAGAATTATGTACTTTGTTCCTCTTACAAAGCAATTTGCTAACTCTTGAGTCTGTGGAAGACCTGATGACTGAGGTCCCAGCACGGCAGTCTCTTCTCCATGTCACCTTTCCTTAGTGCTCTACCCTCAAAGGGAAGCTGGGCCTGCACCGGCCTCAGTGGGCAGTCTGCTGCCATCTCCACAGACACATGGAGTGGTCCCTGCGCTGACTCCCAAGCATCTGGAATGATGGCTTTGATTCCATTTGGTGAGCCACATACAATGGAACTTGGCTAGGTGCAGTCTGACTCTGCCCCAGAGCAGAAGTGATAACACAGTTGAGTCGGTGTGTGTGTGTGCGCGCGCGCATCTCAGACAGCAAAGGTGTCTACAAGCCAGTATCCCTGTGGGCAAGGTATTGTGCCACGGTGCTTTTGAAGGGTCTGTGTGCAAGGGTCTGTCTACGTGATAGGACTGGGCGGAAAACAGGGTGGCCCTTCCCATTCCAGGTTTCTGCAACTCCACTGAGTACGAGACCCAAGAGCTCTTGTTTGGTTTTTTTTTTTTTTTTTTTTTTTTTTTTTTTTTTTTTTTTTTTATGACAGCTACATGAAAAACTACTATATTAGAAATTCTTTATTGCCAAAAAGGTTTCCAGTTTAACATTTGGCACTGAAATGAAGAGAAAGTTAAACATTTTGAATGCCTATGGAAGCACATTCAGATAAAGGAACTTCCTTGAAGGTCGTTGTCCTTGGAGTTTTGCCCTATGGAAAGTGGATATCACCCACACTAGTGAAATTCAGCATTGGAAGTCCTGAGTACCATTGCCTTCCGTCATGTCCCATGGAGTCTCCCCACACGTGACACCTTTGTGAACACAGCCTGGGGAATGGTAGCCGTCCTCCCTGCCTCTGTCCTGGTAAATCCAGAGGCCCAGGAACAGGTGAACCCCTCTTCAGGCAACACCACGTTCCCTTCATCTATGCACCAACTCAGATCTCTGCTCTGAGCTGCAGGTTACTGCCCAGGTGGACCGGGACCCCAGGGATGCCTGGAGACTCTTCATTCTGCCTGCCTGTCTTTCTTAAACCTCAGTGTACTTTAATATGGATTCCATGTGCATTGTTTAAAACAAAACAAAACCTTGCACACATGAACATTTGAATGAAAACTATAGCTGCAAAGGTAACACGTTTACATGATTTTTACACTAGCAGTGCTGCGATCACTGATTCTGTGTTCTCAGACATACTGGAAGGTTCTTTGTTACCAACAACTTGTAATGGACCCACTGCAGCTGTCATTTATGGACACGGACTTGTGCTGTTCCAGTATGTGATAGTTCTCTTGTTTTAATCATTATAAAGAATCCTCTGTGATTTAGAACGCTATTTATCACTCAGTGTAAGATATTTTAAGCATTTATGTACAGACTTGAGGACTTTAAAAAGAAAAACTGTCCTGCACTGCAGTTATAAACTGGTCCCTCCTGTCTGTGAAACTAAAATCTGGGAATTTTTTTTGTTGGAAATAGGAATTACAAATAAGCACTTAAGGGGAAGTAGTCATGAAATTGTTTTCACATTTTCTCCCCTGGTGTCATGCACATCATGTGTTATAAGCTGTGTGAACTCTGCTTACAGATCTAGAGACATCGGTGGGTGGACTGAGGCTGTAGGTATTAGGTTCAAACACTAAACTCTGCCAGGAACTTTCGATAGTAATGAGAATTCTGACTGTTTCTCTCTGAGGGAATTAAAGTTTTATAAATTTAAGTTACAAATTCAAAGGGCTAACAAGTTCTTCAGGGTAATGGTTTGAATAATAATGTCCTTGGGTATTTTTGATATTGGTCCAATCTAGGGGAACCTGGAAAATGAGGAGCTGTCTTCTGGCTTCCCCTGAGAGAGCTTCATTATCCCTGTGGATAGTGAGTCTGCTTGATTTATTGTCAAATCATTGTAACAGTGTCACGGTGCCTTCAAGCCCCATTTGAATGGCCAGAGAGGGGATATATAAGATACGTTGGAGGCCCGAATGGCATTCTCTGTACAGTTCCAGATTGCAGTGAGTTTAGATGTGTAAAGCCAACTGCAGATAGAGTTTATAAAACAGGCCTCAAGTGCTGCACCATTGAGAGCACAGGAATGATAAACGGGTTAGTATATGGTTACTGATCTTTACAGGAAATACACAAGCACCATGAACGAAGAATTAAAAGGGCCTTCTCTGTGAATGCTCCATGAGGAACATAGCCAACACCTGGTCTGTATTTGTGGATTAGAGGAATTAGAAATCCTTTGCCTTAGTGGTTAGATTTCCTTTGGGCAGTGGGATACAACTATTTTTCAGACCAAAGGGAAACTGATTTAGTCTGACACCTTGCTGAAGTTTATCTTGGTGTTTGGTGCTTCGAGGTGTAATACCCTTCATGACACATCTGTGACACAGAACAGGTATAATTCCATTCGGTGGCACAGAGGACTTTCTGCTACTGAAAACTGCCTTTTTTACAAATGTCTGTAAATATTTGTTAAGTAAACATGCTGGAACTATGGATTAGGTTTGGGCCATCAGTGGAGCAGTGTCACCTGGGCAGACAGTCAATGAGCAAATAAATGCTTATTTATGGAAGACTCAGTAAGCCTCATGTTTGGGGAATGGCTTCTGTATTAGACCTTTCATTGCTGTGACAGAGACCTGATAATAATCCACAGGATAGTTACTTCAGCTCATGGGTCCATGATTAGCTCACTCCACCGTGGGCCTATGATGAGGAAGAACCAAGAGTATGTGGTAAAGTGGCTCACCTCCTGGTGTCCCAGAAGCAAAGCAGAGTGACAGAATGGGGCCTGACCCCCACCCCCCAGGACTTGCTTGCTGTAACCTGCTTCCTTCAATGGGTCCCATCTCTAAAGTTTCCAGCACCTTCCCAAATAGCACGGCCAGCTGAGGACCAAGTGTTTGACATTTCACATTCAAACTGTAACTGATTCATTCTGACAGTACCCATATGTATCGACGTTAATGTATTTTAACTTTTCATCTTTTACGTAGTACTTGCTTTTTACATGAATACTTTGCAAAGAGGTTTCTTCAGGGCACTGGGAGACAGCTCAGCGGGTAGAGTGCTTGTGAATTTGGATTTGCAGTACCCACATAACAGTTCAAACAGTGAGCTCCATGTGCAGTGAGATACCATCTCAGGAAATAAGCTGGAGTTGGACAAGCATAGAAGACACATTTCTGCATATGCACTCCTACACAGACCCATGCACGCACACACCAAGCAAGTGGTGATGCCAATCATAGTGTGTAATGTGGCCCATAAGGAGAACCCCAAAGTGGTCAACAGACAGCCTGGTCTTTGGGGGTCCCTTCTCACTAGAATTCATGACTTGCAATTAACTGGGTAAACTGCAAGCAACTGCATTACTTGTTGTGAACACAATAATTCTGAACACTAAACGCCTGGCTGCTGGTGAAAATTGAAGAACGTGGGGTTAAAGGATGTAGTGTAACAGCACCGGGCCAAGCATGCTCACTGGCTTGTCCAGCTTCTACCTTTTCACTTCTGAAAAGCAGGAACTAGGCATAAAGGATCACCATGTGACTGGGCTCCTACTCACACAGGTAAATCAGCACAGTTCCATTCTAGAGGGCCAAGACAGAGCTGCATTTGTTGTTGTGTTTGTTTGTTTGCTCTCTACTAAGACATTTTCTGTTCCCCAATAGCTGGGGAAAGGATCCAAGGAGTTTCTTCTCCTATGTTTTGCCCCTAGGAAGGCCAGTACAATGAAACTAAACTGACGGGCCAGTGAGATGGCTCAGCAAGTAAAGGGGCTTGCCATCAAGCCTGACTACCTGAGTTCCATTCCTGGGGCTGGAGAAAGAACCAACTCCCCCAAGTTGTCCTTTGACCTCCACCAGTGTGTCATGGCACTCGTGTTCTCACTCGCTGTCACACACAAATAAATGTAATTTAAAAGTTCAACAACTAAACCAATGGGGTAGAAACATCTGCTGCCATTGTTCTAGGTCTTCGAGGGAGGCTCATGGTGTCACATGTGTCTAACATGCCTCTGCAGTTCACCACCTCTCCAGCTCTGCCAGTATCCCATGCTTCACTATCAAAGAAACGAGCCCATGACCTACCATGCTCCTGGCCTTGCACTGTCATGAGGCCATCAGCCAGTGTGGTCACGGACACTCTTATGTCAGCATGCAAAAGACTGAAAACTTTAAAAAAAAATTTTTTTCCCTCTCTCTGTTTCCCCGCTCTGTTTCCTCTTAGCTTCCTTTCTACTCTCTCTCACCTATGTGCTCTCTCTATGGCGACCGGCCATGGCGGTCAGCCATTTACCCCTGTTCCTCTTCTTAGTCTCCCCGTTCTGCCGGGCCTTATAATAAGCTTATAGTCTTATGTCTCAAAAAAAAAATTTTTTTTTGAAGGCATAACATAGATTCATGTGTGATGCTTTAGACTACAAAGAACACAGAAACTTTAATAATTTATTATTCTAACAAAAGTATAAAGTATGGAAAATTAGTGTATCTGAATCATCTCAGGAAGCAGAGAAAGTTTCCTCCTAGCAGACTTCGGTTTTTAGCACCTTTGAAAAGAGACAGAGTTAAGACAAGTGGCACCATCAGCCTTATGTGACAGGTGGCTGCTCATCTGCCTGACATTATGTGGTTCCTGTGACCATGGAGTCATTTGGTTTATTTCTCTACATTTTGAGAGTGCCACAAAACACAAAGAGGAGAGAGGTGTTCACCCAATTTGTAGCTGGTGGTTAAGATGAAACAGAAATGCTGAGACACAGCAGGCTACAGGCTGGCGAGGAGGTCAGATGGACAGTCCAAAGGCACTGACGATGCAGTACATGGTCTTGTTCTCCCATCGGACTGTGCAGCTCCCTGTAGGGAAGACAGACAGGCACAGGAAATGAGGAAGCCTAGGAGATGCAGTGCTCCAGTGCTTGCCTCTGACATACACACAGAGAAAGTGACTTCGCTGCCTGACTTTACTTACAGATAAATGGGCAAGTGTCTATAGAATGTTGGGAATTTTTTTTTAAAGATAGGGTCTCACTATGTAGTCCAGGCTGGCCTCAAAGTCAGAGATCTGCCTGCTTCTGCCTCTCTAGATCTGGGATTAGAAGTGTACACCACTACAGCAGGCAATGGTAACTGTTACAGAAATGCACTGGGGAGTATGAGATGTCTAAGCACACACATCACAGAACACTGTTCTTAGGACTGCAGCTCTCCATAGGGAGCTGTGGGAAAGCTGAGGAGAAATGGGCATACCATTTCCCAAGGGAGTGAGAACCCTACCGTCCGTAGAGCTGTCCCAGAAGCAGGAACTCGCAGTATGTAACCCAGCTCCATTCTTCTGCATGATCACACAGGTCACTTCAAGTAAACAAATCTCGTTAGAAAACTTAGCAACATAAACTCACTTCACCTGCTTTTAAATGTAGGCAGATCACATGGCTGATGTTCCTAAATTATAAGGGCAGACTGTCTCGTCTCACTCTATGACAAATTACATATTTCCTTTATCTTAACATGTTCTAAACATGTCTGACCAGAAATCCTGTAAATTCCTGTTTGACATAAACAATGCAACAGTGGTATCAGCCTGATGGACAAAGTGCTGGTTCATTCACTACACAAGGGGCCTGGTCCTAGAAGAGCATGGCTACTTCAGTGACCTGGCCCTGGAAGGAACTTTGTTGCAGCTTATGTAAGAATTGCTAAGTTAGCTTTCTTCTGCCACCAGACACACCTCTGATCAGTATTTAAAGCACAGTATCAAGACATACAAGAAGAAGATCCATTACCAATGTATTTAAATGGTTTCCCCAGCTTGGTGAGTTGGCTCAAAGTCTGCTCTACAACATTTGTGGTCCACTGATTGACTTTGCTGTGCTGGTAGGCATTGCCGCCGATGGCACTTTCTATAGCCTAGGGGAGAAATCACAAGAGGTCATGGAGAGAGACCAGATACCACAACCACCCACCCAAAATGGCCCATAGCCCACCCTGGGAGCTAAAAACAGACCCTGGGAGGATGCAGTCTTATGCTTTATAACAGGGCTCTTTGCAAGCGCGGCTTTCTTCAGCAGCATCACACTGCATCCCAGTTATGTTTACACTGGCTGAAGAGATGTGTTTTACAGAATCTGTCAAATGTGTTCCACATTTCGACTAAACAAATGGATGTTCACACTACTGCTAATATCTAGAGAAAAGCAACCCTTTTTCTTACGGAAGCTGAAAATATTTTATTTTGCCAATTTTTTTAAAAGTATACTAGATATTTTCATCAAACCATAACATATATAATTTAGCAGCATGTGTTAGATGACATTTTACTGGCTGTTTGTACAACTGGCAATATACAACCTAACCAGTCTTCTAGTGCTTTCAGCCCTCATTTTATGGGCTGAGTCACCACACACACATTCAGGGCCTCTGCAGAGCGCAGCTCACTGTCCCTGATACACTTAGGGCCATGAGCCTCCCATCCATGACTCCTTGGGTCTTTCCCCAGCAGCCCCACTCCCAGAAGCTGGTGCAGCTCTGAGAAGCTCCCTCCCCCCACATCTTCTAACCTGCTGGGAGCCAGAAAATGAAGATTTTTATGACAGGCTAAAGTAAAGAGCATTCACTGAGGGTTGTGACTTAGTTTTCAGACACCAGGTCCAGACACCACTGCACAGTGGTGAGGGAATAGGGTCTCACACTGCAGGCTGGGTGCAGCAACTGGGCTTCTGAGGGATAAAAACCTACTATCATATAAGCCATGATTTCCAGCTGCAGACTTGGGGCTCTGATCAGTCCCATCGACACAGGTCCTAGTTGCCCCATATTCTCTGCCTACTCTAGGCTGAGAATACACTGTGGGCTGAGGACCAGTGGTCTTCCGTTAGTCAAGACACAAATACTGTCAAAGGAGGAAGGGCAATCCTCTCTATGCACTGTGAAGTTCAGTTTTTAGGGGGAGAGGAGACCTCTAATTTTGAACCCACTCATATTCCACCTATAGTACTTTTAAACAGCTTGAGGACAGAACAAACCTAGTGCCAAGGCAGAAAAGCTGAGTCACCTCACACTTCCCTGGGGACTGCTACTGTGTACTTTCAGCCACCTGCTGCCTGGTAACTGACTCTAAGTGGATGCAGAAACAAGAGGCAAATCCCTAACAAACCCACTCTACTTCCCAGCTCTGGGTTAATCTACCACTTTCCACTCCCCACCTGTTCCACAGGAAACACTGCACTGAAGAAACAATAAGAGGCAAACTTACACTCCCTGCAAAGCACCAGAAAAATCACACCCAATGCTGAGCAATGTACATAAAAGAGAGAAATCATTTTTGTTTTGGATACTTCTCACAAACATATTTAAGAACATAAGAAAAATCTATGAATAAAGCCCTAACTGTATCACCAGGTCCTAAATTACAGCAAGTTGTTACATTTTCTCGGCAGTTGCTATTTTTCATCAAACACTGGAGATATTTACCCATGTGTCATGAGTCTTCCATGCTACAAGGTCACAGAATCTGCCTTGACACCTGGTTCAGTATATATAATGTATATGATATGAGAGTGACTTTTACTTATTTT